AAAGTCTAGAAACATGTTTCTTGAGGTACATCAGATCAATCCTAATGGAGGTTTTCAATGCTTAGTCATTTTCTCTGAACATATCAATAGCTATATTTCGTCAACATAGATTGTATTCAATTAAATTGAATAATTTTTATTTTCTTCGCCTCGTGGAGTATAACAACTTTCATGATACTATCCTCACATAACGAAATCGTACTGACAACTTCGCCCTGATAACTAGAAGGATTTGCTAGTATACCGTCTTCAAAAAGTGAGACCATGGAATCGAACGGGACACTACTATCAAAATGATAGATATTTCATTTCTCTTTAAGGACATCTTTAGATATAGAGTCTTGTTCAAAAATGTTGTGATTTCACACGAATAAGATTACGAGATGAATCATTGGATATTAGAAAATATCGACTACCCATCAGTATCTCTTTATCTTTAAAAATCTATTCCAATGCCACGACGAAAAAATTGTGAACATCCGATAAAGCATGAAAAGTCTGGATGCGTACCAAAAGGAGTAAAGGCCGTGTCATCCGAACTATCGAAATTTTTGATCAGTCAGTATGATGTGCCTTACACCCGAATTTGCTGGTTATGTGCAAGATGTCATACATTTGAATCGAAGAAAATGATGACTCATCAATCAGAGAAGCTCAACGACAATGAAAGTTCAAGTGATGATGAATCAATGACACAAGATTCTCCTGTCAATGATGACAGAAATGATGATGATTATGTCAATGTTGAATTTAATGATCTGAATGAAGAAGAGAAAGAAAATCCACATATGGACAGTGGTATCACAGCTGAGCCAAACGACGATGATGAATCACCACGTGCTGATGAAACAACTGATCCTGAATCAATGGATGAAGATATATGCCATGCTTTTTATGAACTTGAACATCAAAAAGAAAAAGCGATGGAACAATTATCAAATGTATTTCAACTATTGAACATAGACCCGATCCATGACAGGTTAGATTTGTAAATTTAAATTAAATTTTCTGAAACGAAATTTGTATTTAGATCAGCAGTATTACCCATTCGAGCCAAAGTCGATGAAGTATATAGAAAACTTAATCGATTATGTGACGTATTAGATGAAAAATCTCAAGTTTCGTATGATCCAAATCCTCATGGATTAAGGATATGTGAATCAAATGATCTTTTGGATGGATTAAAGAAGTTATATGCTGATAGTAATGACAGTGAACAAGTTCGTTTGATGACAATTGCTCCCAAAGAATGGGGTCGACAAAAAATTGAAAAATGGTGCGTATTCTATCCTCATTTCGTCCGATATCTTCGCATTTTTCCAATCAAATGTTACTAAAAACTTTTTTCACTTATCAGGTTCAACTCAAAGTCAAATCAGGCTCGACCATCGCTTGTTCTTCGAAAAAATAATGGGATATTAGCTTATCCACAATGTCTACGAGGAAATATTCCTTTATCTGATTCAACAATTGATGCTGTAGTCAATTTCTATCGTGAAGATGGTATTAGTCGAACCTCATCCAATTCCAAAGACACAATTAAAATTAAAGGACAACCAGTGGCAGTTCGGTTTTTAGAAATGAGTGTCTTGGATGCTTATCATATCTTCAATGAACGACATCCTGGAACTGTTGCAAGATCAACTTTTAATGCTCTTCGTCCACGTGAAGTAAAAACTGTAACACCACATGAAACGTGCATGTGTATTATACATGAGAACATGGATCTATTATTGAAGGTTTGTACCAGCTGTATATTGATTCGAATGTAACGTAGCTTTATTACAGGGATGGAACAACTACTACCGAAAATGTGTCAATGCAGGTTCTTGGTCAACTGGTGGCAAGGTCAATATGAAAGATCTAATTACTCAAATGGCTTGCACTGTCTCGAATGAAAAGTGCTTTAATGGTGAATGTGATGAATGTCCAACTGAAAGCATCACAGATATTCTCACAGATAACAATATGATCGATTTGGATGACGAATGTTCATGGAATTTGTGGAAGAAAGTCAATAACAAGTTCGACCTTCAACAGATGTCTGGCTCAACTGACTCTTTATTAACGGAAATTGAAGAAAGATGGTCTCCATTCTTGCTTCACACACACATTAATCGCGAACAACGTGAATATATCAAAGAGCTACGCTGTCAATCAACAGAAAAGACTTTCGTTGTTGCTCAAATAGATTTTTCAATGAATTATACATTGGTTCGGCAGCGTGAAGTTCAACAAGGATTTTTTAGTCAGCACCAAGTTACCTTATTTACAATTCATCTGACCATTGGAAAAGAACAACGAAATTTAGCGATCATCAGTGATTATATGGAACACACAACGGTATTCGTACACTGTGTACAAAAAATTCTCACTCGATTTATCAAGAAAAATTTTCCGTTGGTAAAGAAGATCAATTATGTGAGGTAAGTTTTACTGTTTTTGAAGTTTATGTATGACGTCAATCCTTTCCTTTTCTTTAGCGATGGTGCGTGTGCACATTTCAAAAACAATGCCAGCATTTTGAACCTAATCCACCACAAGATCGATTTTGATTTGGATGCTTGTTGGACATTTACAGCTACAGGACATGGTAAGGGTGCTGGCGATGGAATTGGTGCGGTACTCAAGTCCACGGCTAGACGTGCTACACTTTCCAAGAACATTCTCATGTCAAATGCAAAAGACTTCTACGAATTCACCCAGAAACAACAACTTGAAACGGCAAGAAGATCTAACAAGGATATTCCTGGTGTTCATGTGTTCTTTTTTGAATCAGATGAAGTAGAAGAAGCGAAGAACAGTTATCTGCAAGCTAGAAGCGAAAAACTTCGAGCAGCTGGTGAGAAAGACTTTCTCTTCTATTCCTTAATGTCTGTATTTATTTAGGTACAATACAAGGCATTCGAAGTATGCATGAATTCAAACCAATCAACAATTCAACTGTTCAATATAGTTTGACATCTCGGTCAACAAAGATCAGGACATTTACATTCAAATAAAAATCTTCTTTATATCTTTTTCAGTCAATCAAATTTTTTAAAATCAACTCTGATGATGATACTCAGTATTCAGATATAAAGGATAGCCCTCTTCATCTCCTCCTTATACTAGATTTCTGTAGTCTTATGTTCATGGATAACCAGAAAATGACTGAGCATTCAAAACGTTCATTAGGATTGATCTGATGTACCTCAAGAAACATGTTTCTAGACTTTGTTTATATTTTTGAAAGCCAAAAAAACCCGAAAAAATTGTTTTTAAAAAATTTCTATCCTATTTCATGCCATTTTCCCTATATATAAAAGTACACCATAGGTGTTCCGAGAAAATGCTCGAAAACTCGGAATTTTTGATAGACAGCATTTAATTTTTTTTTGACCAAAAGTGTTTTCTAGTCGAGATCAGCCTTTTGAACAAAAAAAAATCGAAAAAAAAGACCTTTCCAAAAAGTGGATGGGTCTCCATGGATTCACCCATAAAATTCAGTCTGGAACCCCTTAAAGCTGTAACACAGCAGGAGCTACACTGTTTTATTTCGATTGATCAAAATGA